TGAGCAGTGAAAACTATATATATACATATACACAATTGCTCTTTATATAAAGCTCTTTCTTATACACACACGAGTGTCTCTGGATTTTGTTTCTCTAGTCAACCTAGACTAACACAGATGCTGTCTCCAAGGTCAGCAGTTGAAAACCCACCAGCAGCTACAGGGGAGAAAGATGAGGCTGGCGACTCCTGTAAAGAGTTACAGTCTCAGAAACCTGTAAGGGCAGTTCTACTCTGCCCTGTCTGTGACTAGGAGTCTAAACCCCCTCTATGAGTTTGGTTTGTGTTTTGTTCTATTTTTGCTTGGGTGCTGGGTACCTGCCGAAACGTCTAAAAAAAAAAAAGCCACCAAAAACCGAAACTCTATTCTAAAAAAGAAGAGAGATGACCTTCCTCCTGAGACTCCTAATCTAGCCCTTCCCTAATTCCCACAACAGTATCTATTGGCTAACATCTGAGAGCAGATTGGGGACTCAAACTCGAATTGACGTTTTATCAGAAACAGACATTGAATCATAGTGACCCTAGAGGGCCCTGGCCGGATGATTTTGTGACAGCAGGTACCCCCACCTGTAGCATTTCTTGTATTTGAACTCACTACCCACGCTGTGAGGATCAGTTTTGACGCTCAGCACTCCCTAGGACCAGGAAGGCGAGCCCCATGGAGCTTCTGAAGCTGCACATCTGCCCAGAAGCGGACAGACTCATCTTTCTCCCTGGGAGTGCTCTTCGGACAGTGGGTGGAATATTGACTAAATCTTGTCGGTGGAACTACACAGGGAGGGGCTGAGAGTCCTGACCAAGATGACCATCTCCCTTTACCCTGACAGTCTGCTGTCTGGGGCATTGCATGCGAGGTAGGGAAACACTGCCAAGTGTCGATATTCATGCTGGGATGTTGGCCTGGGCCCGTGAGCAGCAGGGCTGGGCTCAGATTGGCCCTCGCGTGGCCTGTGGCAGGCTGCTTCTGAAGGATGTGAAGGCATTGCCTGGCGCCCCCGCCGCCCCCCACTCCCCATTCACTCCCAATGGCTTGTCTAGACCCGAGCTTCCCGTGCTTGACCTTGGCAGGCTCAAAGGCAGCCCTGGACGGTCTTCTGTAAGCTGCGTTTGAAGTGTTCATGTCCCAGGAAGGACTCAGACACTGACCTGGCAGCCAGTCCCACCTACATGCCAAATGGGGAGGCCAGAAGCTGGCCAGCTCAATGCAGGGCCAGAAGGTCCTGCTTCCCTGACCCTCCGCCGGAAAGCCCTTGTGCGATTACGGAGCCCCAGAGGAGCGGAAGGAACTGCTGCTCCGTAGTATGTTTGTGGGGCTGCATTCCTGGCTCCATGTCGGAATTCCAGCCCCCCCCCCTCATGCCCCCACTCCCCAGACTGTAAGGCTGGGCGGTTCTTACGCCTGGCAGCTGCTCTGTAAACACTCAAGCGACGGGATGTCTAATGCCTGCTCATGTCTCCAGCTGCTCTTCCTACAGGGCACTTCCTGTGCCTTTTCCCCCATCCTGGGCCAGGGTCTGGCACCTGGAGACCCAGGGGACATGGTCGAAGTGCATGTCACCTGAGCTCCCTAGGGGACAGGACAGAAGGGATCTTGGGAGAAGGCTAGTCAGGTAAGGAACATGGCAGACGGAGGGGGTCACATCATGCGGGAGGACAAGCCCCGGGTCACACTGCTGGCCCACGTGCGTTTTCCCAGAACTGGCTCAATGGAATGCCACATTCGGGCCCTTCCTGGGCATGGTCAGGGGCCTGCCACCCTTGGTAAAATGGGACTTGGAGAACAGTAATGGCCAGAAAAGGACATTGTGCTTGGTCAAGGAGAGAGTCAGTGAACGGAGGGCCACCCACCACGAGCTGGATGGATGCAGGAGGTCCCAGAGTAGGCTTGGACATGCCAGGGAGGGTGAAGATGGGTGTGGGTCAGGGCCACACTTCTATCTGCTGTTCAAGAGGCTGCTGAGAGCTAGAACCAACTCCCTAGTAACACACACAACCAGGGAGGCTGGTGGAAAGGGCTCACATTGTGCCAGATACACAGTAAGCCACTGTCTGGTTGTCATCGTTCGTTTGTTGAACTGAGAATCTGCCCCTTCATTACCGTTCATTTGTTGGACTGAAAATCCACCTCTTCATTTATGCTACTCTATGCTCTCCCATTTTCACTGGCTCACATGTGCCCAGCCCTCCCGCACCCAGGTGTGGAAGGAAACTTACTGATGGCTTACCTGGTGCCAGGTACTTTTACCTGTATTGCTTCACTTAGTCCACGCCAAGGGCCCCAATACCCAAACCCACACTACCATTGGGTCTAGCCCGACTCGGACTCCACAGGACACAGCAGATCCACCGAGTCTGGTTTCTGAGATTGTCTCTCTTTATGGGAGCACCAAGCTCAATTAGGCTCCTTTGGAGCGGCTGGTGGGTTTGAACTACTGACCTTGCTAACTCATTACGCTGGCAAGGGAGACAGAACTACCCTCCGTTTATAGATTGACGGAGAAGCAGAGATGTCGAGTAGAGCTTCAGGGGGAGAGCTGGGCTTTGGTCCCTGATTGTATGAGACCAGAGCCCATGAGCGTCCCTCTGTAGCACAAAGCCCAGGGTGCAGAGACCACAGCCCCTGCCTTCCAGAAGCGTGCTGCCTCTAGTGGAAGAGGTGAATACGCAAGAGGAACCCTCAGTTGGGGTCAAAGGACACCCATGGGCAATGTGACCCTGGGTGGTGTAAGTAAGTTAGTGCTTGGAAAGCTGGCACTTCAATCCCCCACCCCCACCCCGCACCCCAGAAAGCCCTGGTGACCCAAAAGACAACAGCCGTGAACAGCCCTGTGGAAAGCCACTCTACTCTGAAACACATGGGGCTGCTGTGAGTAACTCAGCTCAACGACACCTGCTGGGCTGGCTCATGGGCACCACGAGTGCCCTGGGGGCAGGCCTCACCAGGGCAGGAGTGTATCCAGGAGCTGCGTATCCACCAGCAGAGAAGGGTTTTGGTAGAGAGCCGTGAGGACTCGTGAGAGGAAGTAGGGAGGATTTGGTGTCCGTTAGGCTTGGAGGCCAGAGGTGAGAGCGAGAGGCTATGTGGGTGGAGCCTGCCCTGCAGGCAACCGGAAACCAGCGTTGGCTTGGAGGAAGCAGAGCTCTAAGACAGTGGTGACCTGGGAAAACCAACCAACCAACCAATCGCCACGGAGTTGATGCCAACTCATATACTGATTCTATAGGACAGGGTAGGTAGTGACCTGGGCGTGGGGGAACAAAAGCAAAAACAAAACTCACTGCCATTGAGTTGATGCCAATGCATAGCGATTCTATAGGACAAGGATGGCACTGCCCCTGTGAGGGTCTACTCTTTATAGGTGGTTTCAAACTGCTCCCCTGGCAGGTCACAACCAAATACCAAGCACTGAGCTTGCTGGGCTCTTTGGTGACCTGGGAAGCAGAATTCAATTATGCATCACCCCGAGGATTCTGGCGAGCTCTGTGACCACGATTGGCTCCTGCATGTCCCTGTCTCAAGGAGCCACGTGCTAAGCCCTGGAACGGCTTATCTCATTGCCCAAGTGACACATTGGGGGAGGTTTTATAGCCATCATTTCTCAGGGTCCAGCCATCCATTTAGGAATAGAGACTGGGATGGGGTGGATGCATTTTGGGTAGGAGGTGCCACTGAGTTATTGGGGGACAGTGAACAGATTATAATGGAGTAAATGGTTAACATCCCCCCTCCCTCCACTGCCCCCCTGAATTCACAGCCACCTGGATTTCAGAATGTGATCGTATTGGGAAGGAGGACCTTTGCAGATGTACTTAGTTAAAGGTCCGGGGATGAAATCGCCCTGGATTGGTGTGGGTGGGCCCTCCATCCAGGTGTCCTGTATCTGTGTAGGAAGAGGCAAGGGCAGACAGTGGGAGGCAAAGAGGAGACTGGCATGTGGCAGCAAAGGAAAGAGCCCCGTGGTGAACCCAAACCAAACTCACTGACCTCGGGTGCATTCTGACTCACAGCGGCCCTGTAGGACAGACTAGAACTGCCTCGGTGGGTTTCTGAGACTGTGCAACTCCTTATGAGAGTAGAAAGCCTTGACTTTATCCCGCAGTGTGGCCAGTGGTCTCGAACTACCGACTTTGTGGTCAGCAGTGGAACCCATAGCCTACTATGCCACCAGGGCTCTGGGGCCCACCAAGGGTGGCCAATGACCAGGTGAAGCCAGGAGGGAGATGCTGTGAAGAGAGTGAGCCAATTCCTCAGGCCGCTCAGACACCTGGCCTCCTGAATTGAGACGATACATTTCCATCGTTCTGAGCACCCGGTGCACGTAATCAGAATGGCTGGTGGCTTGGGTCCCAGTGAGAGGGGCCCAGAGTGAGAGCAGACCAGCATACTGTTGGCGGTCTGGTGCAAAGCAGGAGCGCTGGGTGTGTGTATGCCCCACTGGGTGCTGCGGCAGGGCGTGTGGGGAAGTCCAGGTGCCTGGGTTCTGATGATGAGTTTGGGGACCGGGGTAAAGCAGGGACTACGCCCCTCTCCTCTCCCTTTCAGCCACCAGGTAGACGGGCCCTTTGGAGGCGGTACACTCCCTCACACATTCCAGAGAAGCCAAGAACATTCTAAGCACATGCCTATTCCCCAAACCACCCCCAAACCCCACAGTTCTCCAAGACGAGAAAGGAGCCTTAGGTGGGCACTGAGAGCGAGGAGGGTCAGGGAACGCACGTCTGCCTTTCTCCTTCTCAGCTCTCATAGCAAAGGAGAGAGAGAGGGAGCGAGCCAGTATTTCTCAGATAGGCTGATTTTTTTTAATCAAAAGGAAATTAAAGATCGGGGAACGATGTACGTTTCTTATG